ATATATATATATATATATATATATATATATATATATATATATATATATATAAAGTGTGTTTTTGCTTGCAAGTTTTGGAAGTTGGGTTGCTTCTGAGTCTAAACCTCAGTTTCAAATTTTTAGAAAGAAACATTGATTGCCAACTTAAAAGTGTTATTCCTAACTCTTGATAATTAATTTGGTTTAATATGAATGAATATTGCTTTGGCAACCATCAAAACAAATAAAGTTTATTATTTATAGTCCCTTTTTACTATTTTTATTTATAATCCTAAAATTATTGATTTTTATTTTATCACCTGACACCATACTCCAAGGAGGAGGAAGAAGAAAAAAAAAAGAGGAAAAAAATAAAGGGTGAAGATGAGGAAGAAAAAGAGAATATTTAAGTCTATTTATAAAAGAATAATTTAAAAAATATTAATTTTTTAAAAATAAAATTATAAATTATAAAGAACAGATTGTAAAGAGTACTCTCCAAATGAAGTCTTACTCTCCAAATGGAGTAAAGGTAAAAAAGATACAAGTTTGAGGGCTCTAATCACACACATTGCTTGATTCATTAACTCGATCGTACAATGAAAATATGATCATATAATGAAAATAAATAGATCTATTAATCAATAATGAAAATAATAAAAATATGATCGAATAATAAAAATCAGACACACCGCTTGATACAATATATGATCATATAATGAAAATAAATGGATCTATTACAGTACACCTCATGCAAAATGCAAGGCAATTGTTGGACGCTCTGACGTAAAAAACCAAGAGGACTGAGGCTTTACAAGATCTGGACTAAATCCAACACATTGGAACTTATCAACCTTACAAAAGGACAAAAGGCTATTAATATGGTCAATTTTAGTTATATCAATGGAAAGGATAATTTAGGATGGTACATCAGCTACCTAATTTTGATCCTATCAAATGTACATCCTTAAATTGGGAAGTGGAATTTTCTAATATTGTGCTACCAAACATTGCCTTCAATCTTTAATTTTGATTGAATATGTTTAAGAAAATAAAAAAAAATTACTATACCATTGTTAGAGCATTGTTGGACATGTGGAGGGGTTATGAAATTAATCTTTGTTTGAGATTAAATTTATCATAAATTTGATATCGGGAGACGAGTGAGAATAATTGGATATAATACATATCTCAAGTCGCCTTTCTGCTTCCATTTTATAAGATCAAGAAAGAAGACAAATTTCAAAAGCGGCATCACAACAAACACGATGACTCGAAGATCTCAAACGAACATATTATTCAAGCATTCGAAGTAGAAGTAACGACCAATGCAAGGAGACCGATGAGCTACGCTCATGCATGCAGGCCAAAACTATCTACCGAAAAGTTCGGAGAATGAGAACTCAATTCAATCCTGAAGTAAAAGGGACGGAAGTGGATCCCAGCCACTGATCACCTTGGATGAAGGAAGTCACCGTGAAGTTGCTCGCCTCCGCCGTGCTGTTGATCACCCGGTAGCCCGGCCACTTCACCCTGCCCGTGGTGTTCGAGCCGGGACCCCGGTTCATGTACTCTCCGTAGTACAGCGTGTTCAGCGCAAAGTCGCCATTCCACTCCAGCCACCCGGCAGGATCGATCAAGTTGTCGAGGTACGACTGCATGAACACCGTTCTGGAGAATTCCTTCCACGGCCGGCCGAGATAAGTCGAGAAGTTGGACTGCACCGGGATGAGGTCGGCGGCCGCGGCGACCTTGCACTTGTGGATGGAGATGCCGGTGTTCTGGTTCGGGTCCTCTCGGCCTTGCGCGGTGAAGACGTTCTGCTGGTTCGACATAGGCTTCCGGGCGTAGAGGTTGCAGTTCTGGAGCACGACCGCGGCGTCGCCAAAGATGAAGTCGATGGTGCCGTAGACATCGCACTCCCGGTAGAACTGGCGTAGAGAGTGCACGTAGAGGGTGTCTTGATAGCCCACGAAGCTGCATTTGTAGAAGGCGGAGAGGTCGGCGCCCACCCGGAGCGCCACGGCTTGGAGCTTGCTGGGCCCAGCGGCGTTCTCGATGGTGATGTCTCGCATGAGAAACCCATCGCCCACTACAGCTGCAGAGGACACAACTCTTCGCTCACTAAACAAGATATCATCACACACGGTCCAACAATAGAATGTAAACGATACGTTTGGCACTACATGTTTTATTTCACATCAAGAGGATTTAACTTTCGATATTTGTTGATGTAGTCTTTTAACTATAATTACATATACTTTTGTTTCTCTCTCTTTCATAAAAAAAAATAATGGCTTATATTTAATAAAATTTTGCTTTTTTATGGATCATATATATATATATATATATATATATATATATATATATATATATATATATATATATATATATATATATATATAAC